CCATCTTCTTAAAGATACCTTACTCCAAGCCTTGTTTTGAAGTATGTTCATCTTTTCCTCTTTCTTTAGTTACTAATGCTAAAGACGGACAGTGGCTTTTCCTGCCAGGTAGGACCGTAATGCTAATAGTTAGGGGCATTGCCACTCAGAAAGGTAAGAAAAAGAAATAGCAACTCTCCAGAGTGCCACTGAGGAATGTTTTATTTATGCTGCTGTGAGTGTGTGTCATTGGTCCTCAGTCAGACATCGAAGCACTAGTTCATACTGGAATGTTTCTGGCCATTAAAGTAGACTCACAGGTGTAAGCAGGCCCAAACTTCACCCAGAAGGTTCTCGGTATTTTATTTCTTTTGTGCATAAGGAAGTAAAATGCAAGTCTCGGTTCTCAGGTGGTCTTGAAATTATGCAGCTTGTGCTAGAAAATCTACCCTCCTTGTTTTAATTCACCCCTCTGTTAAACCTGCCAAGCCCTGTTGATATTGATAAGGATTAGGTTTTATTTCTTTCTTGGGTGAATTGAGGCTCCTGTTTGTCCGTTCAGAAATTCCACAAACTCTGAGTATGGGAATTCTCAGAAGGCACCGTTCCAGATGGTGTTTGCAGTACAGTGCATGCGGCCATCTGATCCAAGTTTTGCCTCAATATGCTGTGTGTTTACCATGGGCTCTCTCTCCCTTTAATTTTCCCCAAATCAGTTTAGAGCGTTTCATTTACTGAGTCAGTGGGTTTGCATATGAACAGCTAATCACCAGCTCTGGTGGGTTCTAAAGCCGGAAAGCAAGGTGCCATGGAGCCAATGTCTACCTGCAATGGTTAATTAATTTCTCAGTGATGGTTCTAGCTTCTGCATATTTTGCTGGTGGTTTAACACAGAGGGGGATGTTTGATATATAATGTTAGGGGTATGCCACCAACAGCCCAGATTCAGATTTTTCCAAATGTGCCACTGCACTACTTACAGGACGCATTGTGTATGTAGTACCATCTGCCATCATTGATGCCGTATTCTGTAGAATGAATGCCAGCCCCATTCGGAAGGCTTTACTATGGCATCCAGCTCATCATCTGCTCTGGTTCACTTCAGCAGGTGTGAAAAGACCTGGACTGCCCTGCTGTGCAGCTTAGAAACCATGGAAATCACAGCCAAAAATGCCCATTTGGACACAGTGCCAGTTGATTCACTCAGAGCCAGTTCATTAGAGTCTGCATATTGCACTTTGCCAACGAGCTGATCTCCCACATCTAATGCCAACTACGTCTTTTCCTTCAAACAGCTGACGTGTGCAAAGGCATCCATTCCAATTCATCAATTGCTTCAGCTTTTGCTCTAGTGTTACATTAATAGCTGTCAAAAGGCTTGCTCTTTTCTCACTTCTGACCATGTAGATGTTGCCTCTTACTGTCTGGCAGGTCTCCAGAAGAGACAGAGGTCTGAAAGCTCCTGCATAGTAGGAGCTTCAGGGCTTTACCTCTCAAATTTTGAACTGTCAAAATGGCATAGTGAAGTTGCTCCAAATTACCCGTATTGGAAATTTCACATAATGCATTACAGTAGACTTCGCATTAGGGTCCCAAAAGTGCTTCACGTATAGACTGCCAGTAAGAGGAGCTGCTTTCCCTGCTATAGGTTGAGTGCTTTAAATGTCCACTGGCATTCCAAAGTTGTTAAAAAAAAGTTTAGTCCTGATCATTTTTCTCAAGGGAAGTTGCTTAAGTGGGTTTGAAAGGTATTCTAATGATATTTAAGGGAGCGCAATCTTCACTGGAATTTCAGTAGTCTCACTTCATAGACACTTGAAAGTATGAAACGCCCAACAGGTTATTTAATCTTGATTGTCACCTGACATTAAGACCGTGTATGCACTAAGAGTTAGGAGAAGCCATGCAGATATCAGGTTTGGAGGCATCAGCCTCCTACACCATAAACCTTTGTCAGCAACCTCTTCCACTAGTGTTGGTTCTGGTGAACTTGTGGGTATGAACTCAGCCCTCCCCCAGCTGCCTCCCTGGCCATCACTTTGTGTCGTATCAGAAGCAGTTCTTTGCAGTCCTGCTCAACTCTGCTTTTTCTCTCTGGTGTCTGCGAGGTGAAAATCCTCACAATTCATCCTGTGCTTTCCACTGTCTGACGTTATGGAAATGCACATGGGACTCCACGAGTCCTTTCCCAAACTTGGGGTGAGAGTGAGCTGGTAGTCCGACTTGAGCAGTGGCTTGGCACCAGAAGTGCTGTGGTCTGGTAGGTCCCAGTAATGGTTTCCTGAACTACCGAAAACCTATGCATCAGTCTTGAACATCTGTGGTCAAAATGAGGTAATGAGATGGATTCACAGACCCATACCTGCATATCAGTTTGTACACCTTATCAATGCTTGTGTCATACGCACTAGCAGTTCAACAGACCCAGGAGTGATTCCACGCAAGTGCAGTGATTTTTGGACTGGAGAGAGAGAAGAACCACCTCTAGATTTTTTGGTCTCTGTCATAGTTTCGCAATGTAGTCAAAGTCACCGCTGGTTTTGTAACTTTGGAGACAGGCAGGTGAACTGCACTGTTTACCTAAATTCAGTACTGATAATTAATATAATGGGTACCCAGAATTTTGTTTCACCCACCCCAAAATTGTGAGCCTAAGCTAGGAATAATAGCAACACTTCTGTCCTTTCAACGCCTAAATCTGACATGTCTGCCAGGACAGGCTTACACCATGAGGTAGGAACAGCAAGCAAAATCTAGCAGTCATGTTTTATGCTGAGAAATGGATGTGAATATTCTAGGCTATCAAAGCAAGAAAGTAAGTAATGTTATCAGATATTCCTGTGTAAAATATGAATTTAATTCCTAGCCTCCCGACTTAGGTGTTGGCTTTGAAGTGTTAAAAAACAGAGGGCTATTTTTTAACATGCATGGGTGCTAGATATTGTGCTGAACACTTTCTTGTGTCCAAAAATCCATTGTTAATGTAGCTTTAATAAGCTTGTTCCTTCAGCATTCTCACTTCTATTGATTATTGAGATGAGACCCAGCTCCTGCATGTAATATATATATGTATTTTACTTATGCTCTTTATCAACAAAGAGCTAGCTCTTCTTCTTCCCAATAAAATTAGAAGACACTATTCATATAATATGGATTCTGAGACTAGCCTGATGTAGAAGGGCACCTGATTTCCCCAGGGCTCAGTACTGGGGCCGGTCCTGTTCAACATCTTTATTGATGATCTGGATGAGGGGATTGAGTGCACCCTCAGTAAGTTTGCAGATGACACCAAGCTGGGTGGGGAGTGTTGATCTGCTGAGGGTAGGAAGGCCCTACAGAGGGACCTGGACAATCTGGATCATTGGGCTGGGGCCAACCGCATGAGGTTCAACAAGGCCAAGTACCAGGTCCTGCACTTGGGTCACAACAACCCCATGCAACGCTACAGGCTGGGGGAGGAGTGGCTGGAGAGCTGCCTGGAGGAAAAGGACATGGGGGTGTTGGTTGACAGCCGCCTGAACGTGAGCCAGCAGTGTGCTCATGTGGCCAAGAGGGCCAATGGCATCCTGACTTGTATCAGGAATAGCGTGGCCAGCAGGACCAGGGAGGTGATAGTGCCCCTGTACTCGGCACTGGTGAGGCCGCACCTCAAGTACTGTGTTCAGTTTTGGGCCCCTCA